GCATCCGACATCCAACAGTATCAAAACCAAGAGACACCATCCCAACGTGAGTTTAAATTATACATATCAAAGCACTTTCCAGACCTTATAAAAAGAACTGGTAGATCAAAAAACTACGTAGTTAATACTTATTTTAACGAGCCGATAAAACCGATACAGGTGAAAGGGAAACGTATCCCAATCCATCTTCTCCCCAAAGTCAAACTATGCATCGACCAATTATTAAGTGACGGACACATTGAAAAACTATCTAGATGCTCTGAAGATTGTTTTATTTCCCCTATCGTGATTACAGCAAAAAGGGATGGATCAATAAAACTAGCGTTGAACTCAAAACTACTAAACAAACAAATATTTCGCAATAGATATCAAATGCCGAATCTATTCGAACTAATTGACAACGTTGCAGTCACTATTAGCGGCCACGATCAAAGAAACATCTGGTTTTCGTCGAAAGATCTAAAATACGCCTACAGCCAAATTCCGCTTTCGAAAAAGGCAAGTAATCAGTGTAATTTTAACATTGTGGGGGGAGAAGTAACGGGTTCATACCGTTTTAAAACCGGATTCTATGGACTAGGCGATATGCCCAATGAATTTCAACGTATAATGGACCGTTTGACGGAAAAACTACCAAATACTCATTGTTATCTTGACGACATCCTAATCGCCACCGTAGGTAGCGAGGAAGAACATAAAAAGCTAGTCATTAATGTGTTAAAAACGCTAGATGACGAGGGACTAGCCATAAAATGGGAAAAATGCACGTTTTTAACTCATAACATAGAATGGTTGGGATTTAGAATCGACGCAAAAGGGACGACACCATTAATACATAAATCTGACGCAATCAGAAACCTAAAAGAACCAAACTGTATTAAAGACATCAGATCCTTAATGGGATCGATTAACCAATTTAATAAGTTCATACCAAACCTAGCGTCCTTATCAACAGCCTTCAGAGAACTTATGCAAAAGAATAAACCATTTAAGTGGTCCACAGTACATACGGAAGCGTTTGAAAAAATCAAGAACGAAATTTGTAATACGGTGACGAACCACCATTTCGATGTAAAACTGAACACTCGGGTGAAATGCGATGCCTCACATTTAGGATTGGGCGCGTCAATCGAACAAGACCATTGGGGGAATTGGAAGACCGTAGCGTTCGCTAGCAGATTTTTGAATATCGCCGAATTAAAATACAGCACTAACGAACTCGAATTACTGGGATTAGTCTGGGCACTAGATCATTTCAAAAATTATCTACTGGGTAAACAATTCTCAATTTTAACAGATCACAAAGCCTTAATAGGAGCACTGAAAGACTATAAATACACTAAAACGGCCCAATCACGCCTCACCCGTTGGGCGGATAAACTATTACCGTTCGACTTTACCGTAGAACATTTACCCGGTAAAGATATGGGATTTGTCGATTATATATCCCGACACCCATCGGGTGAACCCGTACCAGTTTCTCTGGATGACGAGAAGTTTGTTATCGCTTCAGTAAACCAGATTAGTACACTCTTAGGCTTTGATCACCTTATGCCAAAAAATTCGTGGGCGCAAATAAGAAATAAATTCTCTCAACATTTCTTAGCACATGACGTCACTTCTTGCAATGCGATTGGCCAGTCAACAGATCATATGACCAGTCAAGAAATAGAACGTGAGAAACGAATTGCTAATGCCGCTGAAACTTTCCAAGCGATATCTAACCATTCCAACATTTCAGTGTGCCAAAATTCTCACTCGCGTACAGAACTGTGTGACTCATCTTGCAAAACTAACGACTTTTTTACGAATTTTAAAATCCTGAAAGAAATGGCAGAACAAATTGAATTTAACCAACAAAAAGAACTCACTACTAAAGAAAACACGGACGTTTTAACACCAAATACTAGTAACCCGTCGGACAAACCCGAGAATAGATCACCTAGCAAAAAGAAAACAGTTAACTTATTCCCTTTCTCTTGGCCGGAAATATTTGACTCTAAATTTATGTCCCTCTTATCGAAACAAGATCTAATTCTGAAAAAGATAATCAAGGCAATCGAGGAAGACCGAAAACAGGATATCCTACAACTGGGAAACTATTATAAGTCATATTTGAATAACTTACATGTCAGTGGAGGATGCCTCTATTTGGACAACCGTTTAGTAATCCCAGCATGCCTAAGATCGACTATGCTGAACAGACTACACGAAGCCCACCCCGGCCAGTTCGCAATGAAAAGCCTGGCAACGCAATACATCTGGTGGCCGAAAATTTACCGTGAAATCCAAGTCCACGGCGAAAATTGTATAGAGTGCGTGAAAGCAGGTAAAAATTTGAAACCTCTTATAAAACACAATACCCTAGGGGAACTCCCAATGGTCGAAGAACCAAACCAAGAAATGGAATTAGATTTCGCTGGTCCGTTACCTTTAGTATGGGGAACAAAAAAATACATATTGGTGTGTGTAGACAGATTTTCAAAATTCCCATCAGCTCAAATAACATCCAGTACATCGGCAAAATCTATTATAAACTTCCTTAGTAAATACATTGCTTTACACGGGATACCTAGAACAATTAGAACAGATCAAGGATCTGGTTTCATCTCCAAGGAAGTTAGAGAATTCTGCCACGATCACAACATAAAGGTGATATTTAGCCCAGTGGGTGATCATAGAGCTACCGGATTAGTGGAACGTCTTATCAGGACCATTAAGGAACGACTCCTGGTTATGGCACAAGAACGTCCAAAACCTTCACTAGAATCTGCACTCCTGAAAATAATAAAATGCTTAAGAACAGTAACTCAACAGTCGCTTAACTGCTCTCCTTTCGAAGCACATTTCGGTAGATCCCCAAACACTATCTGGCATAATTTGGTCAAATCACCCTCTTCGAAAAACCTTGATTGGAATAAAACTTTGTTATGTATAGATAAAGGCAAAAAACTAATGAGCCGAGAGCGAAGACATGACTGGGATGCCCCTGACGACATAGAAGATGGAGACGTCGATGAAAATTCATCATCCTCGGAGGATATCTCAAATGCCGTGAGATATGTACCAACAAGTGCTGGATCCCCAGTAAAAGTCCTCTCCCGGTCAGAAAAAAGAGATGCCTTGGGCATAAAGGACTCAATTCTGAACAACCCGTCGGGTAAGACCATTGTTTATCGAAAAATCCAAGATAGAATGAAAAATGAACCATACTATAGAGTACTTAAGGACGAAATCGTAAGGGAATCAGATCACACTGTGACTCTAAAAAATGGTAAAATAATACGTAAATCTGATTTAGCCATTAAAAGACAGTGCACCCAGAAGAAACCAAGTCCGAGAAAACGAGACCAATTAGTTAGATTTTATGCGACTAAAGGATTGAGGAAAACTGCAAAACCTCCAAGAAATGTCGGATTTAAAAGCTCAAAAACAACCCAAAAGAAACGAAATCTTCAGTGGAAATTTGAAGAGCTTGACATTGCGAGACGAAACGCGGCCATGAACAGTTCTAGGGAAACTCTTCTTAGAGAGGAAGAAGAACAGAGAAAGAGACTGAGAACACCGATTGGCCTCGAGAGTGACCAAGAACCAAGCCCGTCGGGCAAACCCTAACTTCTTAAAAGTTACCTAAATGAACCCGGAGTGACGATCGAACCACATGAAGAGATGTCAGACGATAATGCTAGTGACTTAATTACACTAAGAGACCTCAAGGAGAAAACACTACTCGAAACTACGAAACGAGACGAACACCTAATGTCCGACCGAACAGATCCTAAGCTAGAAACATCAGACCACGCCGACCAGAAGGTCGAGTTAGATGAGATTCCTTTGATCGACTTGGATTCCGGTGACAATGAAAGAGACTTTCAAGCGACCCCACAGTTGATTCTCTTGGACACTAGGGAGGAGGGCAATGAAGCGATCCAAGAAATGCCGGTACTTCCAGAGAATCCCGGAGGAGAGTTCCCTAAACCTACTGGAGAACAAACCACCATGGCGGAGACGGGACCCAAACAAACACATTCTGACCGTACTACGAAGACACAGAAATTGTCCGGTACTGCTAAAAGGAAAGCGTCATCTCCAATGAAATCACCACCCTCGAAAAAACTGTCAGAAATTTTTACACGTCAGAACACCAGACCTATGCGAACTAGGCAGCCTCCCAAGATGCTAGGTGAGAGAGTATTTACCAGTGTAGTCGACCTAACTGAGGAAGATCGTGATGCCCTAGAATTCGGTTCACCTAGTTTAGTCTCAGTATGTTCAACGTTGGAAGCAACTACGGTAGAAATGGAAAGCCATCATGTCGACCTAGTAGACCTGACAACATTAACACCACCTTCATCATCACGCCCTACTATAGTTCACTTGCGGGAAGAAAACGATGCGTACCCAAGTGACCCAAAGCCCTTAAAAACAGACGATCAAAAGAGTCCCGACAAGAAAATTGCATACGATGACTACTTTTCAAACGATCCCAAACCATTGAAGAAACTACTTCGGTTGATCGAGACTAAAAGTTGAGAAATACAAATTTAGGTAACCAATGTTTTAAGATTCCGCTGAAAGTGGTTAAAATCTTACTTAACAATTCCGCTGTGTTTTAGATATTAGTTCGAGCCCTAGCATTCAACTGCTAGTATAAAAGTTCAGTAAAAAAAACAAAACTGTGGAATCCACTTAAAGATTGCGGAACTTGCTTACATTTGCAAATTCCATTTGCAAATTTTGCGGATTACACTTACATTTGAGAGTTACGCTTACATTCTAAAATATTCACTAGCAGTTGCGGAATCCAGTTCATCTAGCTATATTCGCTTGTTGCGGGATCCTCCATACCACCGCTACTAGTTATTTAAAAGGCCTACTGCTGGTTGTAAAATTAGATCTTGGGGAGGGGGGGGGGTGGGGTGGTATTTTAACACGTTAATTTGAATTAAATGGCTGTTCATAGACGGTCAGACAGTTGAGTATACTAAATGAGACGTCACCCCGTGAGAATGAACAAGAGTTTTGTTGTGAATGCAGAAGGTTGGGACCAAAGTTATCTCATAGTTGTCAGCATAAACAGGCAACTTCAAGTTTGTTCCATCAATTTGTGACTGTGAAAACCAGTCTATGTTTTTTGAAGGGTCTAAAATGAACATTTATTTCACTTTTTAACAGTTCCTCGAAGTTCAGAGAAACGAACAATTTGGTCTAGTGAGTTAGGACCGAGTTGGTTAACTCATAGAGTAATTTCGGATAGGGTACACCGTCTGCTCGTCACGCTATCTTATTTTCGGCCGGATAGATTCGTGCAACTTCTTAGTCTAATACCGATCCTAATCTTACTCTTATACTATCTAGTCTCAGGTTGTTTAACTAGTCTCTGCTAGGCTCAATAGATCTAGGGTATACTGGTTTATTGCGGTTGCTGAAGTGCTCGGGAGAGTCCAACTAATTTCTAAGTTAAATTCAAATCTCTCTGGTGCTGAAATTACAAGTAACTTCAGCACTTACAAATAAGTGGGTTGTTAGTTAGATGGATCATGATTGGTTAATATTAAATACTTTACATTGGTAAAACATTTAATTTATCCAATCATAAAATATAGTTTAGATCAGGTTCCACCCATCCGGGTTTTACAGAGTTTTTTAGAACAGTTCTTCTGTAATTCAAGGATGGATGATGGACGTTGGTATTTGGTGAACATCATAATTTTCTTCCGCTTCTTCTTTGTTAAAGAAGTTTCAGGAAGCTGGAGTTAGGGACATAAGACGTTGTGTTCTTCTTGTGACAACGACTGAGTCTCTGCAACAAAATCAATTCTGCTTTCAGAATGGTTGGCTATGTCAGGTTTTTCTGTTCTTCGGGGAGAACTTCTTTTGTGTCTGATCTAGCTTGGGAATGGCGTGGAGATTGTGCGTGGAGGGGATGCCTGGTTACTCGGATCTGTACGTACACTTGGGTCATCGAGGTGGTCATTGGTCTAGTTCAATGAAGTCCTTTTCTGCGAGGTCAAGTCGTACTCTAAATCCTTTGAGTTGTGATTGTGAGCGGCATATTGATTGTAGTTGGTCATTCTCTCTCGAGTGTGGTGGGGTCGTTTTGTCTTTTGATGTTCGTCCTTGGTGTTGTATTCTGATCTATGTATTGCATCATGTGATTTTACATTTTATAAAACTTTTATTAGTTTAATATTTTTTAATAATGATTTTAGTTAGTTGTTTTCACAAAAGCTTTTTGTTTTAGTTCGGTTATTTTGAAGAGTTACTCACACTTGATTAGCTCTTATTAAAAATAGTGGTGTGGTCACAAAGCGTGGATGTAGCGCGGTGGGTTAGGCCGGCTATAGAGCATGCTCAGGACGTCCTTCCTGGTGGGTTAGGCCAGGAGTGGGAGTATGATTTCATGCGGTTTTTGTGAGGGGTCCTGTTATGTGACAACGTTTTATGTTGGGTTTGTTGTGGTTTTTCTTATGTTTTGTTGGTTGTGTCCTTTTTTCAAAAATCAAATTGTTTGTGGTATGGGTTTGTCTTTCGACTTTTTTGTGTTTTATTATTTCTTTCTTAGACTTTATAATAGTCTTCAAAAGAATAAATTATCCAGTTTTAAACTGGGTTAATCCGGTTTGGGTACCGTTGGTTTCCTTTTCTTAGTCATGCTGTTATTCTATGATTTGTGGTATTTAGTAAGCTGCGTTGGTTAGTTTTGTTTAGTATATGATTCCTTTCCAACCGGGTTAAAGGAAGGTTTGAAACATGTTATTATATGTTAGAGTTGTTGAGTGTGAAAACTTGAAACTGAAATTCATTATTTTAAACAATTCTTCGTGGGCGAGCTGTGCGAGTGTGGATAGAATTTCTGTGCGAATGAATGAGAATATCAAAAGGTTAGTACTGCAATTGCATTTTATTGATTTACTGCATAGAATTTGGAAATTTACTGCTAGTTATGGGGGAATTTTAAGTTACAAATTTTCATCATAATTAGATTTACTGCTTGTGGGGAAAATTTTAGAAATGAATTTACTGCATTGGTATTAAATTTATAAATTTATAAGTGTAAGAGATTAATAGAATTTTTGAAATCTGTTTGATGAAATTTGCGATTTTTATTTGTCTTTTGTGGTTTTTGTAGGTGATCGTCGGATGAAGGCTAAAAATCTAAAGAAAACATGAATAAAGTATGGTGAGTTTTTTAATATTTCAATTAGTTAGTTATATTCATTTAATTCATACTTACCTGTTAGTCGTCGGGGAAAAAACCGTGGGGGAAGATGTCGTGAATTAGTTCTGAAGTTGTTAGTAGTTTAGCTAAGATGCGGATGATATTTTTAGTTTGAAGCAGTGGCCAAAGCAATTGAAGTGACTTAATAGTGGTTAGTTCTTCAGTGCCAACTGCAAACTCATAAGGTGTGTTTTGGATTTGATTATATAATTTGTGATTGAATTTAGTGTTGTGGATGAATTCTAAAATTGGGATTTCTATGGGTTGTACAAACTCGTGCGGGAGAAGGAAGGGTCGGGATTCTTCGGCGTTGAAGGTCTTGGTGATGGGACAGAAGATGTACATTTGGGTTATGGGGTCATAATTACGAAGAATACCATGGAGGTTAGTGTCTTTAATACAATATGTGAAATTTAGGAAAAATGGTGAAGTGTATTTGGAATTAATGAATTGAAAACGATGGTGTGGTTGTCTAGAGGGTGTGTGTAGGTCAAAGTGATTTTGGATGAAGCGATAATAACTATATGTGTGGGTTTGTTTAGTGCGCAACATAATATCGTGTGAGCAGTGTAAATCTCTTTCGTGTGGTGCAAGGAAATGAAAGGTTAGTGAAAATAGTTGGAAGCGTTCTTTAAAACTTTCGTATGCTTGTGTGTCTGTTAGTGCTTCTGAAATAATGTGATCAAACTTTCGATCGAAGATGTTTAGTGTGAATATATATGGTGTCTTGATGAAAAATTTCTCGGTAATTTGTGGATTAGCGAAGCGATCGTCGTCTAAGAATTGATCTTGGTTAGCTCTGATGATGTTGTGATCATAGTATTCGAGTGTATATTCGTTAGCTCTAGGTGCAGTGTGTGTTTTTAGTGATTTTTTATATCCAACGTAAGTAAATTGTCTAGCGGTTAGTGGTGTAGTGAGTCGATATAGCATGTCCGTATTTCGCTCTATATCGATGTGAGTGTTAGATAATGGTAAGCAAAGAGGGTTAGTAAAATGATAATATGAGGTCCAAGAGAGAGTGGGCATTAAAACGTATTCATCTACGAAGTTGCGTGTTTCGTTAGTGTCGTGGGGGGTGTTTAAGGTGTATTGTGGGAATGAGGGTAAGGTGATGGCTAAAAATTCTTTTGTGTTAGTATGCTTGGGGTGGTTGATGTATTCACGGGCTGTTCCTGGTTTTGCTGGGAAAGGATGGTTGGGGAACTTTCTTTTAAAAGTGCGGTAAGCTCTATTAGTGTTGAGTGAAGATTCAGTGGATGTGGATGATGGTGCTAATGATTCAGTATAATTTGAAGAGGGTGTAGGGGTAGGGGGGTTGGATGAATTTATTGTGGAGGAGATTTGGTTTATGGTTGGGGTATTAAGGTGGTAGGGTTGTTGTTGAAGGGTAATAAAATTATCTAGCTCTGGGGAGATTCGGGGGGTGTCTGGAGAATGAGATGATTGGTCAGAATGGTATGAGGAGTAGGTTGGGGTAACTTGGGAAGCATAAGAGGGTGTGGGAGTGATTGGGTCAGGGTTATTGGATAATATGGGTTGAAAAGGGGGTTGAGAAAAATTAGAAGAGTTATGAAAATTATTGGATGGGGATGGTTCTGAGTCAGCAAATTCATCGGGGGTTTCAATATTCGGGTTATTGAGTTGTGAGATGGAATATAAAACTGAGATGTGTGAATTAGTATCGGAATTCATGCCTGATGTTACATTACTAGATGGAAAATCGGGTGGCGGAAAAGCAAAAAGTGGTATTATTGGGATTGGGGAGGTAAGATTGGTTGGGTGGGAATTTGATCGGTGTAGTGATCCAAGTTGGCGGCTCATCGTGGGCTAAAAAAATGATTATTTTGAGACTGAAAAGCGGTGGTATGGGGTTGTTCAATAATTTGTTCATAAGTATTATCATCTTGTGACTGGTGTGTCATTATATGTTGAATGGGACTTTGTGATGTGGTGAGTCGAAAATTTGGATTATGTGTGATGGCTAAGTTTCGAAAATTTCGTGGGACTAGGGATAGTGGATGGTTATTTGGTAGGGGTGGTAATTGTGGTGCCGTTGGCGTTATGTCTACATTGTTATGTTCTTCGTCGTATGTATTTTGTCGTGTTGTTATTTTTGTGTTATATTCTTTTATTTGTGCGTCTAAAAGAATTTTGTTTATAGATGTAGAAAAGATTCCAAAAAATCCTGCAAAGAGTATGCGTGCTACACTTGCTTGTCGATTGACCTGTGTGTGTATAGCACATGTGTTGTAGATTCCTTTTAAAAGTGAGAAAAGAAATCCAATAAAGTTAAACATTGCGTATAAAATAGTCAATTTTTCTAAGATGTAGTAGGGCCATCCTAGAAAATCGAGGATCTCATTTTTGAGTGTAACAAAGCTAAAAATGTTAATTGGTGATATATCTTGGGGACGGTATTTTTCACCGTTTAGATATATATAATCTTTAATGTCTTTAAAATATCCGCTATAGTCTTGCGTGTAGATATCGGCAAATCCTGCGGTTTCTGCAAGTTTGCGTAAATTTTGGTCTATTGATTGTCTTTGTATAGTGTCCATTTGTGTTAATAATTCTTGGAATTTTTGTGTTCTAATGTGATGTTGAATATCTGATTTTGAATAGATTCCTATTGATTGTAAGTCTATATTTGGGTTTCGAGCAATAGCGCGAATGCTTTCTGGTGAAAATTTTTTGAGTGATTGCATTAATGTGGGATATGGAGTGAGAAGATAATATTTATTTTCATCAGGGTTTAGTTGTACTACATTGTGGCTGTTTTCTGATCCACATGGGACTGCGGTATCCCAGAAATAGGTTCTTCGTGAAAGTGTATCCACGAAATGTACTTTATTCTTATAAAAGATAGGGATTCTTTTATAACATCGTTTATCTTCAAAAACGTATAGTGGTGATACTTT